CCCCTAGATTCCTCACATGTCCGCAACCTTAACCTACCAAAACCTACTTTTTGTAGGTTCCCTACAAATTCTATACTAGGGTTCATAACAGGACCCTGCAACAAAACTACGCTTTGGTAGGTCAAGGAAGGTCCCAAGCGGCCCCAGAATTTGAGAAGCCCGGACCCAAATATCCAACCATTCCCCAGCGTGGAATCTTTGAGTGCAAGGCAAACAGAACAAGGTTTTGGGTTTCGGGTTTAGGGCCCGCAGTCCTGCACCAACCCTATAGGTGCTGAGGTGGTTGTGTCTTCTGAATGACTTGGAGGTTGGGACATCTGAGGTTCAGCCACCAACGGTTCCAGTTGTAGGGACCATTACATACACCAGTAATCCCTCAAATGCTTTCCCTCAAAAAGTGAAGTTCTCAGTTTGGGGCCAATGGGCGTAGGGCGCATACAGGGATGTGGGCCACCTAAGCGAAGCAGTCTCTCAAACGAACAAGCGTGGTTCTCCTAAGTGTTTCATGGAGGTAGGGTTGCAGTAGACGCCTCGCATGTACCTAAGATTCCGCCGGAACCTTGTTAAGGATTCCACAAAGGTGTTTTTAAGCCAGCCCCCCCAAACTAGCATTGCACCTCACAAGTTGTGCGGTAAGGGTTCTCGCCCTGGAGTTTGACTTTTCTCTTTTTGACCCCCTCAATCATAGCCTCTGGGTACGTGGGGTTTGTCAAAAATGGGATCCGTGTACCAGCGCTTAGGATGAATATACAGACTCCAGAGTTTAAGGGTTCAAGATTCAGGTTTCATTTTGGACAAAGTCCAATGTAGGTTTTTGTGAAACTGCAGTATATAGTATACCCCAAACCCGAATTATTCCTGTTTTTCAGGCCCCTATACTATGTGGGCTGCACCCGGGTGGCCCAAAAGCCAGGAGTTGCGGCGACTCTGACCAGGACACAGGCATGCGGCGTGCGGTTTATTTGGGGTTTAGGGTAGGTTTGGGGTTTAAGGTTTAGGCTAGAGTTGAGCTGCTGATGCCCCGTGGGTTCAGCCCCACGCACATTCCTGAGAATGGGCAGGAAACGCCTTTAGGACTTGAGGGAGTAAGCTTCTGATTGCCAAACAACGCCAAGCCTAATCCCCAAGCATGAGTTCCAAGTTGGTGTTCCAGGCTTGAAGTTCACAGTTATTCGGCTGGTTGCAGAAGTATCTCTTCGGGACTACATGTTATCACCATTCATACAGCACTCGATTGGCACTATGCCAACCTTGCATCTAAATCCCTACATTATCCCAGTTTGCGTTTCGTGCTCCATATGTTCCATTTGATGCCTCGTTCTCGTACTTCCGGAACCCCAAAGCATGGCCCGACCCCTCATAATTTACCAAAGGTCTTGAATTTAGTAAAGGTCCTCGCATATGGGATCTTATTGGGGAGGGGCTGGACCATGGTGTTGGCAGGTCAACGAAGTCAACTGAAGGGTTGTAATCTTGCCGTACCCCCGGTTTTGCACACCCGCGGGTTGTATTGAGGTGCTATGGGGAAACCAGTATCCATAAGGTACAACCCATGAACTCTTAATAAACTGGCGATCTCCAAGTCCAATTTCGAAGCGTAAGTGTCCTGCGGTCTACCATTTTCTAGTTTGTTCCCACCCCAGCCCACCTTGTTCCCCCAAAAAACTACAAACGCAGTGTAGCTAGGGATTTTGGTTACTGCAGTCTCCAAAACAAGCGCCCTATGATTTCTTCGACTCTTATAGAGCCCTTGTGATAGGGCCCATAGGGGTTGGTGTTACCAAGATGATCTGAATTACAAGGCCTCCAAGCACTAAGCCTTCCCCAGAGTAAGCAACATACCCGTGAGCACTTTGCCGACCGCGCCCTGAAACTAATAGTATTTCTACCATGCACGATCTGTATCATGCATTCTTCTCATGCGGCCCCTATGTCAAATCAGGCTGATGCAGCACCCCTGCAGTACCCTAAAGCCCTTGAAGCCTCAGTCCCCGAACCTGACACATCCTAACCCCTAAGCCCTTCACCGAGGAAGGAGCCCCGTAGAGACTACTGTCCAAAAGGGTTCCATGCTAGTTTGGCGACTCATACTTGGGTCAAAGTTGAAGCGCTGTCATTTTCAGCCCAAGAGGGAATATGAGGTTTTAAATTCTAAAGGTGGAACCAGATGGAACCCCTTAACGTCGGAGGCCTCAGAAGCTCCTCTTTGGACACTGCCGAGCGTCCTGCTCGGACCACAGAAGTGGGGGCATTCGAGATGTTTATGGGCTAATTAAGGCTTCAAGTTCAGTGTCTGAGGCTTCTGACTGGGGTTCCGGGATTGCATTGAGGCTTTCAGTTTCGGATATGAAGCTTCGCGCCTGCTTTTGTGGCCTTTGAAGCCTTTCAGGTGTCACGGTCTGGTCCGCTTTTGGAGGCTTTCAGGTGTCACGGTCTGGTCCACTTTCTGGGGCTTTCAGGTGTCACGGTCTGGTCTGGTTTTGGTGGCTTTCAGATGTCACGGTCTGGTCCGCTTTTGGGGGCTTTCAGGTGTCACACGGTCTGGTCCGGTTTTGGGGTCTTGCAGGTGTCAGGGTCTGGTCCGCTTTTTGCTGGCTTTCAGGTGTCACAGTCTGGTCCGCTTTTTGCCGGCTTTCAGGTGTCACGGTCTGGTCCGCTTTCGGTGGGGCTTTCAGGTGTCAGGGTCTGGTCTGCTTTTGGGGGCTTTCTGGTGTCACGGTCTGGTCCGCTTTTCGGGGCATTCAGTGGCGTTGAGAGGTTAACGTTCCTGGGCTTAGGTTTGGAGTTGGAGGTTTCGTGTTTGCGTAAGTAACGCTGAAGATTTGGGGTTTATGTTTCTGCGTTTGGGGATGGGCGTCTTTGTTCAAATGGCTGGTGCTCATACTCTATGCAACAAGTGTGTAGTGTTCTGGAACACTGAAGAGAGAGCGGCTAACAATCAAAGCTTTAATCCTGAAACTGTAATTCTGGTGCTGAAAATTCTTTTCGGAAGACCAACCCTTTCAAACCTCGTCGGCGGGTTTTTGCTGACCTGTTCTGGATAGGAGTGGATCTCCATCATAGAGTGCTCATGTAATCTCAAGTTTTGTCACTATAATCAATCCAGTGCTTCTGAGGCGTCAGAACGTTGCAGGAAACTTGGAACCCTAAACTTGAAGTCCCTATACCTAAAGTTAACCTAAAGTCAACACAAAACCTTCAACCGGAAAGACCCTGGGCCCTAAGCCCTGAGCGTCTCAACCTTGAACATCAAAAGCTGAACCTTACACCTCAAGGCTCAGTCAAGGTCTGAACCCTCAGCTTCAACCCCAAATCCCCACCGCTTAGCCTTCACCGTTTTCAATCCTATCCCAAACTAACATGGAACCTGGAAAGAAGCCCCGTAGAGACTGTTTTTTGCAAAGGGGGGTTATATGAATCCCTGCGAGTGTGGGCGAGGGCAAGCCCCGAACTCGACAATTCCCTGGGTAGAAATCCATCAGCCTCCCCACTCTGAGTTTACGGTTTAGGGGGTTGGGACACCTAAGCCTTAAAACAAAATGTTCGAAAAGACACGAAGCTCCATGATTTTGAGTGATTTTTGAACGCACAAGGCATCCCTTCCTGATGCGATGGCATCACTTCAGCGTATCCCGGGCTGGTTTGGGGTGTTGGATGCAACCCCGGCCCTTGCAGATTGCTGTCGGTGTCATGATGATTAAGGACATGCTGCAGCTCTCTCAGTTTTGATTCAATGACCCCCCAACCCCGCGAATACATGGTTCATGAACACATGGTGTTGCTGGGTTGTCAGGAGGACAAGATGCGCCAAGCAGCGATCTGAAGTAGAAATTGCTATGTACATGTCGAGGGCACCTAACTCCTAATCCTAAACCCCAAACCCTGAATTTGCATGATTTGGCCACCATGCTGGTAACCCTCTGGCAGCGAGAGTAACAACCCTTGCCGGTGGGCTTCAGGTGTAGATTCAGGTTTAAACCTTTTCTCTTCCAGCATGAGCGAGGAAACACAGCGCATGTCACAGCATTCTCGGCTGGCCTGCAACGTGTCCATTATGTTTGTATACATACACAGATTATGGCAACCCATATAAGTCTGTATAAATATTAGTTTCTTGGTGTCAGAGAGCCTGTTGTGTATTGGATGATCAGGACTTGCCCTTTTGCAGGTACAACGGCTTTGAACCGCGAAGTATCCTACTCACCTGGCACTATCTGATGCGTTCAATGGAACCTTAGCCCTCCATGGCTTGCAAGTTATGGCTTGCTGCCTTTCCATCTTAGAAGGATCTGATCCAAGCCTCCCCGCATGAGCACGCTTCTAGGAAGAGCTGCACAAGGAGGAGGCAGAAGCACGGGGGCCCCCTTGACCAGGATATTATATCGCCAACCTTGAAGTGGCACTTGCCAGGTGTAAATTTCAGTCAGCACTAGAAACAGAAGCACCTTGAAGCAGCAGCATTCCGGAATCCACCAGATTTGGGTTTTTTGACTGGGGTTATGGTAGCGGCGGGGCCTAGAAAGACGGTTGCTAATTCTCTTCCACTGTCCTCCTGCACAGCCTCTACCGTGCTGCAGCCAAACATACCTCAGAACCTGTTTTAGTCGTGTAAACCGATGTTTAGGGTTTTGCACCGTAAGCCCCCAACTTCCTAAAGCCTTAACAATATCTGCAGCTTCCGCCAGCCATGCCAGGTTTGCGACAACGTGTGCACGCCCGAGTTTGCCGCTGGGTCGCAGAATTCACATGTTTGGCGTGAATGATTGGGGCTTGGGAATTCTGAAGCCTTTGCAGGTTTAGGATTCCAAGCGTTGCATAGCATATGCCCCCACCAGTTGCTACCATGTGCAGGACCTCCAGTGCACTGGCAACATGCAACTGTGGACAAATCCAACTTGAACAACTTTAGCCAGGAAGCCGAGAGTGTTGGATGGCTGCAGCTGTTTGAGCTTGCCGCGCCTTCGCCCTAAACCCAATCCGCAGCCGTGCAGTACAGTGCCATGTTTAAGATGCCTCGGGCAACTTTTAGAACGAGTTTGCTGGCCTGGGCCGCTATGACCCTAGCTTTTGCATGGACTGGCAGCCCTGGGCCGTGGCTCATCCTTTCAGATGAAGTGTCAGAGCCTGCCCCTGTAGTGTTCCTGCGGAATAAGAGGAACCCTTTCGTGGACGCAGTGGCGGGCACCATTTGTGCGGCCATAGCTTTCTGCCTCCTGTGGCTGAATGAAGGCCACGCAGTCAGGATAGAACAGCTACTAGATTTGGTGCGACGTCGTGTCAGAGAGATTGGGCCATCTGCTGCACCGGAAAACGAAAGGCACCTTGTATTTTTGCAGGGGAATGCCAGAACAACTGATGAGCTGGTGCTGCCAGAGTGGGGCAGTGTATGCGCTCCAGCCAACTCTGCCAAGCTCAGGGCGCAACTTGCTTGCCTAGCACTAGCGCGTAGAATGTTTGTTATGTTTTTGCGTCTGCTTCAAGTTGCTCAGGAAGGGTCTTTGCTTGCAAGTTGTGATTTGTTGTTGCACACAGCTTGCAGCCATGAGGCAAGCCTTCATGTACCAATGGGAGGAGGAACAGACCGACAAGACCGTGACATACAAAAAAGTTTGGAAGAACCACAGGGTGAACTCGTGCCGATTTCAATACCAAGGAGGGCTGTCGCATGACAATCCCACGTTCCCTGTGGCCGGGACTTGCATGAAGTTGGCGAAGGTGGCCGTGGGAGATTTCGTTCTCTCTAAGAAGATGCTGCTTGGGCTATTTGAGTCAAGGGGCGGAAAGGAACGAGGTTGCGCATCTCTTGGCCATAAAGCCGAGGAAAAGCTAAGATACATGAGATGATCCCGCATGCCTTAGTAGAACTGAACTCCAGACTTGATGCTGCTTGGAAACCCTCTACCCTAAACCTTCAAGGTTGGGAAGACTCCAGCGCTACCAGCCGTGTGAAGTAAGCGACGCTTCGGTGCAAGCAATTAGTGCAATCCCGCGGATGTACTGCTATGGTCACTGGGTTCTTTTCAGCTCTTTGTTTTCTGCCCAGACCTGAGCCCAAGGAGCCTCTTGATATACGTGTGAAAACAGTAAGGGCACTAGGCTGGTCATGGAACAAAGGTTCTGCAAGTGCCCACTTCGAATTAAGTCTGTGAAGTATTATGAAGCTGATGAACCTTGTTTTCCCGACAGTTTTCATTGGATTTTGTTGTTTGATTGTGGGGGTTTGCCTGCAAAGTAACCATGGTGCTGGAACTCGATGGTCGTGTTGGGCACATAAATGAGAAACGGGAATCATATTTGCAAAATCTTTTCATGCTGTTACGAGAGGTGAGCCCTGCCGTTTCGACGCAAGCTTGCGCTGGTATGAGTCGAGCAAACCTGCGCTGTTCTTCCCTTTCGGCATGAGGGTCGGCCTCTCCTAGTCTGAAAAGCTCTACGCCGTCACATGTTAATCCCAAATCCTAGATGTGTATAATTTTTCAGAGCCTCCTTTATAATACATGAAGGGCCCCACCAGGTAGATCCTTCTCCCACGTCTCCACAGATCCTTGGTCCTCAAGTTAAGCCTTGCGCTTCTGGTCATTCCTTGGGCTCCAAATAGCCCCGGTATCGATATCTAAAAGCCCAAAACTAAAGCTGAATTGTTTTCTTAGCTAGAAGTTATTCTACTAGTAACATTTGTCATACTAATACCAGTAGAAAACAATTAGAGCCCAGGATGCTCGATGACCAAGAGATTTTTGGAGTTGATTTTTGTGCCAGCGGTGGTCAATGCTTCACTTTAGCAATGCCGCGCTTAGCATGCTGCAATGGCTCTTCTATGTATCTTTCGTACTCTTACGACTCTCATGGTTCCTTCCAAGTTTCCAAAGTACCGTAACGGACTGAAACCCTACGCCCCCAACGCAGACATCTAAAACAAAGGATCGGCGACCTGATGCTCATGTTTGAGTACGTGCCCTGTGGACCTGTGAGTCTCCTGGGAGTGCAGGCCGGCCTCCCCCTCTTCAGTTTAAAGGGACTTTAATGGGAACCCCAAACAGGGAATCCCAAGAATAGAGTAGGAATCTTATGAGGAATATACCTACCAGGGTCCTTATGTCCAATTATGTTCCTACTATATTCTTGGGGTTCCCTGTTTGGCGTTCCCATTAAAGTCCTTTTTTCCCATTAAAGTCCCTTTAGAGTAGTAGATTCCCCAATCGCGTTGTACATCAGGGTACATCGATGCATTTTAAGGCATGTATAACTGTATATCAAGGTATGTTGCAGTATGGTAAAGTAGACTAGAGCATACTGCAGTAGAGTTTACCGTTTCTAGCTTCTTATGGTGCAGTCTAGACAGTTAGAGTGTCACTGGAGCATGTTTATACCACACCGTCGTATACTGGTACTTACTGAATTACATCTAGTTGCAGTATAGTCTCCTCTGGTATGTTGTGATTATGGTGTTGGGTCGTGAGCTGTAGCATGTCAGGTAGCACCGCATGGTGTAGTCATAACATGCTAACATGTGGGGAGATACCATAGCATGTCATGATATTATAGTACTCGTCTACCAGCATTCGACTGCATACAACAGTATCCCAGAGTATTTCATAGCATATCAGAACAGTTTGTCAAAGTACAAGCTACGCCTACCTTGACATGCCATAGCAGATCTACATGTGTACTCCGCTGTCTTACACAGACTGGCCGGATATGATAAGTTATGGGGGCGTATGGTTAATTTGGGTTAGAGCAGACTACATTACAGTGGACAGCGATACCGGACAATGAGACCTGATGGGCAGAACATTCTATGATCGACTTCAGTCCGCTGTGCCAAGTAATGTGCTTTCCTCTCAATCGTTCCTCTTTTGGGGGCGTGTGGCAGCAGAAATAATGATGTAGAGCTTGTGTTCCTAGCGTCTTTCAAGCACCCTGCAGTGTGGGATTGTGCTTCACCTAAACTTCAAAGCATGTCCGCCCTACCCCAAACACTTAAATTGCCAAGCTTTAAGGCATCCTCCCATTTCTCCACGTGTTGTCAGGTGCCCTTTGAAGCAGATGCCGGCCCAATCTTGGTTCCGGGCATACGCTGCAGGGTCCGAGAAAGAGAGGCAGAGATCTGTGAGGTCACTCCCCCTCCGCTACCAATAAAGGCGGGCTATGGGGTAAAGAGTTCATACATCCTGGATGCTGCCAAGCCTATGTAAGTATACGGCATGGAATCTGAGTTTGGAATCTACAGCTGCAGATCGTCCAAGAGCCTGAAGTAGTACTGTGTTGATCTGTCTAGGAATGAGCCTGGGGGTGGTGCGAGCAAGAGCTAGCAACTAGGTAACGACACAGTTTTGGCTTGGGCGTTTACTGGCGGTCAGGTTCAAAAACTCCCAAACATCGCAGGCCCAAGTCCCCAAGCAATTCTTCAGTGGTTTTGAAGGAGGGTTTGGACCTGCAGGGCAGGGCTTCAAACTGCATCGGATATCAACCTCAAGCTGAGAACCACTGCCTCCAATCATATCCCGAGCCCGTAGCTGATTTTCTCAAACCCTGAAAGGGTGTTTCGGAAATTGCAAGATTCTATTCCATTCTCTATCTTATCGTTATCGGGACTTCCACGACTTGACATTTAAACCTTGGACTCAAAACCCTCTCTTCCACCAGTTCCGGGGCAGCCCAGAGGTGCATTTCACCGAGCAACCACCCGGGAAGGACAGCGAGGCCAGACGTTTTAAAGTGAGGGGTTTAGGGCTGTAGGTTTGGGAGTGGAGGTTTAGGGCCTCAAGGGTTGGGACAAAAGGTGCAGGGTGTAGGGCTTTTCGTCTTCAGGAGGTAGGGTTCAGGGCTTCTAGGCCTCGCAGGATTGTGCCTTGGCGCCTGTTACAAACTAGCTAGGTTTCCATCTTTAGGATATTAATTCGGGTGTGCGACGTATTGGGTTTGTTGGTTTCCCGTTTCCTTCTTTTGGGACATGATATGCCTCTTTCCGGGGATTCAGGGTTCAGGGTTTCGGGAATGATAGGGTTGCTGTTTGTCTTTTGATCCTTTGAGTGTCTGCATGAAGTCATGCCTATTATAGTATAGTAGTTTCCATTTGTTTTCCATCATCCCAATAATGTTACCCCAATATTAACCCATCCAGGTTTGTTCGAAGCCTGAAGCTGAGAGTATGTTGCGTGTATATTTGTTAAGTTTGAAGATTGTCACCTATGAGGGCCACCCTTAACTAAGCCTAAACGGTGAATTGTAAGGGGATGACAGGTTGCATTGACTTAGCACCTGCAGATGGCAGGACTACTTCGAAATCAGCGACGTGGTCTGCTCGGATCCACCAGAACCTTGGGCGGTGGGAACCAACCAGAAGACCTTTGTGCCTCTGCGACTTGGAGAGCAATAGTAAACAGTGGGCGACCTTCGTATACAGCGCGGACGCGCCATTTCTGTGAGCTGAGAAGGCATACACTGCACGGACGTCTCTCCTGGCAAGCCAAGAAACAATTTCATGCTGGTTTCTGTGGCAGCCAAGAACTTAGGCAGTTCCACGAGAACAAGGCCAAGCGATCTATGTGGATAAGAGCCAACACCGCCACAACGAACATTGCAGACGAGATGGGGCGCAGCCTGTTGGGCGAGAACGAGGCGGACGTATACATTGAGGACGATCGATCGGTCAGGTTGCATCTGCAGCACGGATCGGACCAGTTGTCTCCCGTCGCCAAACAACTTGCCTCGTAGAACACGCTTTTGGGATTGCTTCTTTTCTTTCAGCCCCTTTGGCGCAGCGGCAAGGTAGAGCTGCTGACTTTTGACCCTGGAAGCTTTAAGCCCTATTGCCGACTAAGGTTGAAGATGTTGAAGCAAACCTTCAATTGTGTGAAGTTGGCATCTGCCTTCCTGGATGGCTCATCGCCTGATGAATTGTGTCTGGCGTTCGAGGGCACCTACTCTTGCGAGGCAGTCATCATGAAGGAGAAGGAACCGCTAACGTCCAAAGAGCTACCGTAAGGATTGAGGGTTAGGAGCTTTTGGCTTTTCATGCCCTTCCCTGGTGAGAAAATCCCACATATTGTATCATTGTATATTGGGGAACATGTTTATGCTTGAAGAGCACTCTTGGATTTGAGTCTCACATTTCAAGGCCTGAGCGCGGATTGGTCGGCTTGTGTTTGAGCGAGCAAGGTGTTGGCTTCAGGTTTGATGTAGTCAGATGCATAGCTCTTTTCAATTCGGGATTGTTGGATCAAGTCCTGACACTTGCACGTCGGAAACATCCTAATCCAAACCTCCAGTTTCTGCCTGCAGATTTTAGTTATGAGGCTACTGACAGTCCCCGACAAGAGATCATCAGTCGATCAGCTCAGCTACGTTTCATGAAGTGTGTTGGGGCCCTATGCAAAAGAGGGTTTTTGACTATTAAGCTGTCCGCTGCTTGAGAGACCCAGAGTTTTGGACTAGTGAGAGGCAATCGAACGACGGATCAATGCTGCCGTGCGTTTGTTCGGTTTCCTGTTGATGTGGCAGAGCTTCAACTACATGCTGCGCCCCCTGACGTGGGTGTTCTCCTTCCTGTGGATTGTGGGGACGCTGCTCTTCCTAGTGGTGCATGCTGGGACCTTTGTTTGTGCCTGCATGTTCTCGGGCTGCACCATTGGCACAGCATGGGTCTTCTATCGTCCTGCCTATGGGCTATTGATCTTTAGCGTGCCTCTGCTAGTCCTATGCTTGTCACACCTGCGTGCGGCGAACGAGCAGCACTTCTGAAGGTTTCACATGGTCTGCGCCAGACGGTGGTGACTGCATGATCAAAGGCTTGCTGGATGCTTGACAAGTGGTGTAGGCGTCGATGGTTGTTGAGCCTCTTGTTTTTTCAGCACTTTATGCTTGGGCGACCTACTAAGCTACAGGTAGCTTTCCTGAGAGGTATATGTATCCCAAAACTCCAAAGCCCAGAGTAGGCATTGTTTACAGACTTTGCGGCTCAAAGTAGGTACTATGGAGAGGCTATGCCCTTTTCTGCTTCCCCGACGCAGGCTTCACATGTGGTTCCAAAGCTGGCTGCAATTGGCATGTGTCTTCTGGGCTTAGGGTAAAGTAGGCATATGCTGTAGCACCCAAATGTGTGCATACATGTATAGGTATATATGGGCGTGTATTATATATATATATATATATGCGCACAAATGTGTGTGTGTGTGCGCGTATTAATACATACATATATACATGTATATGTATATATATATAGAGATGTATGAGCAATATTGTGTTTCTGCTTGGGTATGACCTTACTTGGTTCAAGCACCAAATGAAACAGTATGCTCCTAGCAAAAGAGTTGAGAATGAGTTGCAAGTTAGTTTCATTGCTCAGATGGGATTCCTGGCAAGTTTCTGCGCAACTGGAGCTGATGCATGTAAATATGCCACAGCAATCAGCTACCCCTCATGCTACAGAAGCCTGTCCGCGAAGTTCAGATATTCCATACACATTTCGATCAACAAGGGGCCCCAATGTAGCCCACAATGTGCTGTAGACACTGTAGTCCTTGTTGTGCCCCGAGGGCAGGCTCCACAGTTTTGGGCAATCCCCACATAGAGCCCAATGTTTCGTTGTCAGCACATGTTATGCCTGGGAGGCATGTGTTTGACATACAGGGGCAGGGATTTTGCTGAAGACCACAGCCGCCCGGGAGCCATAAGTGATAGCGGAGTTTCTGAACACGGGACCTCCCATGGGACCTTATCATATAGGGACGTGTGCAAGGTCTTAGGGCCTTAGGTTGTAGGTCAAGATTCAGCGGTTTAGGGTTCAGAGTACATGCGGCACCTGAAGCTCCAAAATTTATGCGCTCGGATCAATCCACCCACAACAGCCGCTCATTTTGTGGCGATCCCTAGAATCTCTATACATTGGACATTTCCCCCTACAGTGCAACAGCCCCCAACACGAAAAGTGTAGTCATACTGTACCATTCAGAAGAATCTTAGACATGACTGTTGGGGGTCAGTATCCAGACCATGAATCCCTGAGTCCCAGTCAGCCCCCAAACCCAAATCGCTGAACTTGAGCCCCTGAACCCTACTCCCTCAGCCCTAACCCCCTACATTGTAAGCTCTATCCCCAAACCCTAAATCTCCAATCCCAATTGACTTAAAGTAGTCATTGACCTCATTGCCATCTTCGCGCTAAGGCTGCCGCGCTTCGGCTGGTGGACCAGGACTTGCTTGTGAGACGGCTTCACTTTTCTATGTAGCTGGGTACGTACGTTTTACACCTTGCAACCTTCACCATCCTCTTCCCGCTTTCCCTTCACTTGCTGCTCTTCCCCTTTTTGCTTGCCTTCTTCTCTATGCGTTTACCTCACTCCACTTAGTTTGATTCGTTCCTCCATGTCCTGTTTCCCTTCCTCTTTCTACTTCGAATCTGGGAGATTGGGTAGGCACCTACAATTTGTAGCTAGCTTACGTGTACCACTGAGCTCGAAGTTTCCAGACTTTGACGCTTGCAACTCAAGCCCAACTCGATAAGCTTCCTCTGACCCCATTGCCCCAAGGCTCCAAGACCCAAACCCTGAATCCACAACCTGTAAGTTTGTGTAACCCCATAGCAGCTAGCCCAAAACCCCGGAATCCGCTTGCTTTAGGTGAGTGTGTGAATCTGACAGGATTTACTGCGCCTCTGTCGATGTCAGGGACTTCAACCGAAGGCCAGGCTTCTTTTCTGATAAGGGTTAGTCTATAACCACCATTATTACTATATTCTAACTTTGATAGGTATTCTTTCTGATATCATTAGTACTAGTAGTACTATAAATACCATTCTTATTGCGACGCTTACGATTGCCATTATTAAGGAAGACGTGGCTACCCCACACCAAGGCATGACCTCGTGAACCGTCATGTACTGGTCATAGGGTCCTTTGTCACTTTGGGAATCGCAGAGAGGTCTGCCGTGATGCTGCTGGGCTCGTCCTTGTGTGCCCAGTCAAAAAACCACGCGTTCGTAATCCCACGCTCCCGAAGTAATCCAAGCATGCTATAGTACATTGCAGTACATTGGGAGCATCGATTAGAGGCTCGGGGGAGCTTAATAGTTGTGAGGGTGCAGACGGTTTAGGGTTTAGCGGTCTAGGGGTTTAGAGTTTAGGGGTGTAGGATTCATTGGTTTATGCGGAAGCCGTGTCGAAAGAGCCACGGTGCCGTTTGTCAGGACGCGCAACCGTCAGATGTGTTTGATCCACCAGTTCTAGTGGGTGGGCAGGTTGGGGCACTGTCATGCAGAGGCCTGAGATAACTGGAATAGGATTGGGGTGATATTCTTCAAGGGTTATTTAAGGACTTCGACATTCCAGTCAACAATTATTCAGGCTTAGGTGCGTTTGGTCGGCCAAGCACCAGCTCTTGCCCGGGGTGGATAGTAGTTTCGAGAGGACCCAAGCCCCAGGCTCCAAATGGGAGTATCCAAAAGTTTGGATTAGCGTGTCTTTCTCAGGGTTTTTGTCATAAGCGTGATGAGTTATGACAGGGTTTATATATCCTACGCTCCTCAATGTTGGAAACCCCAAAAGACTCCAGGTCGGTTTTGTTGATAGACGGCGGGATCCAAAGCAGGCAGTGCTTTTCAACTTGGACTTGTAGGGGGCTCTGTGTTGCTTACTCCACCCTTAGCTGGGGCGTTCTAACCCTTGTACTTGGGGTGACCCATACCTTGCTAATGAGGCAGCTTGGACAGTTTCAAGTCATCCTGCGTCCCATGGCGCCCCGCAAGCCCTGTAAACCCCGAGGCCCTCAAATTTCAATTCCAAAAGCACACCCCAGAGACCCAGCTACCTATACAGCAAATTACTTGCCCATAGGTCCTTCTTAAGTGTCGTATAGTACCCACAACTCAGCTCGAGAACCCGCTATTTAGAGAACGGGGCTTCCAGGCGAGTGTCCCAACTCACCATCTTTCCGACCCAAAGTCACGCAAAAGCCTAACGGCCTAGACCCAAGAACTGTTTGAGCCGCTAAATCCCAATCAGCTAGCCCTCAGTCAGCTTCTTCCGCCAGGAAGGGACTCCAACGCTGCAGCTGTTGGCCATGCTTCTAAATGCGGAGCGGTGGTGAGTGGGTGTTTGCCAAGAGCTTGCAGGGATACAGGGGTGCACGTATGCATTATTTCGTAGATGGGGGACATGAAGGCTTTAAGGATTACAGTCCAAACTTTCATGGCTTGCGGGTTTGGTTTCAGAGGGCGCTGGGTGCAAGACGTAAGGTTCGAGGACAGATGGAGTGGGTTCAGTCTATCAGAACATTTCGCTGCAGACATCCTACCGGGCCTCAACAGCTTTGATGGCAGGCAGGCCCTCAATTTGCCGGGCCATGCAAAGTCCAATTCCTCCGGAGGAAGGTTTCTGGTCCCTGAGACCTCCGTGCTTTGAGATTGCAAATGCTAAGGGGAACCCGAGGGCCAGCACCCCAACGCCCAGATTGATCTCATACTCTTGATGGACAAAACTGGGCGTCGCGCTAGGTGCTACATACCTAAACCGCAAGAAATACGGCGTTGAAGTCCGCTGAGAGCCATGCAGGATTTTGTTCATCAAGTTTGACAGGAGCATTTGGGCTGCGCCTCCCCGCCAGGGAACTCGCAAGGCGCTGTGGGATTTGGCCCGACATTGGAGTAACTTTAAGGACTGCAGGGATACGTGGGGTACAGGTGCGATGAAGGTGTTATATCAGAATTCTAAGGCTTTCCCTTGAGGATTGCGTGGGAATTATTCTAAGAAATTCCCTGTTGCATAGCACCCTAGGCGTCGACAGAGATCAAGGCACCACGACTGTCTAAAACCTGGACAAAGTTTCAGAACATCCAGGTCTTCAAATGTTGCGGCAAGGTTTTCAGAAGAGGCGCAATCAAACTCCCCTGAGGTCTTCCAGTACATACAAGTCCAACTACTTCCCCGTGCCTATCCCTTTCAAGCACACAGGTGGCTGCCATAGGGCTTTCCTGACTTTACTTGCTCATTGCTATTTCCTTGCTGATTGCTAGTAGGGAATGGCAGAGTGGATGACTGTGGTTAGTAGCCCCTGAATACCTCCTCCCCGGCTTAGTACTGTATTTTCCATCTCTAGACCCTACCTAAACCCTCAAGAGTAGTATTCTATTTGGGGATACTATGGTAATATTACCCCAATAATGGAGAATCAAATGGAAAAGAAAATGGAAAATGAAATGGAAACTGGGATTATATAGGGGTTATTTGAGTAGTACTTTATTAAAAGTAGTTCCAGTTTCTACTGACAACTTGCAACCAGCAGGGTTAGTCAACTTCCCGGTTCCTCTTTTGATCAGGTGGAGCGAAGGGCAAGGCCGGCGTCCGATTCATTCTTATGAGTGGGATTCGGGAGTTTCCGGAAATTGCGGGTCCCATTTGGTGGCCCCTTTTCTATGGATTATGTTGTCTTGTTGGGCGCTTTTATGTGGCCCCTTATTTATGGACACTTTTGGGTGGGATAGGGATGCTGGTTTAGGGTTTTGGGTTGATGCTTGAGGGTCGCTGTCTTGTGTTCAGTAGAGGTGAGTAGCATTTCAAATGGGATAAGGTTGGATTCTCTTTGTGGTGAAAATGTTGAGAGAAGTATATGCTTAATTGGTTCGACCGTCGAAGCACGCTACTCATGTGGGTGATGCCCAATACTGCGTGCACAATATCACGTAGACAAGACGGAGCTTAAATGCTCTATGGGGCTGGGGGCTGTGGGTGAAGCGGTTTATGTGTGAC